GCGCTGTTACCTGCGTGCAGATAAAAAAAAATAGGGAAAACTGTGTCAAATTGGCCGGTCTCTCCGGCGAAAAGTAAATCCAGTTCCTATACCTTTTTTACTATACAAATTTCGTACTGGTGTAGGCCTTTAGCGACCATGAGTGGAAGTCTGAAATAATAAAGAAGAACGTGCTCTCCTACCGCAATACACGCAGTAGTTGAGGGTAGTACTGCCGGCTGACTCAACCGCTATCTAAGTAACGGAGAAAAGACATGCTAGTTGACCATTTACCGAAACAGAACAACAGAGAGCTATAGGCTGATTTTGGAGTAGCCATAACTATTCTAAGAACGCGAACCACTTCACAATGGCAGCCACGAGCGAGAGTTCGATGTTCCGTACAGCCCACCGGTACAGCCCAAAGATGGAGAATAGCAACCTCCCGGTTTGCCGTCTGCAAACGGAGTCGGGCGCGTGCCCTCTCTCTCGTTTTACCCCGCTGAAGCCGCTGAATTTCCCGGATGTATGAAGAGGGCGCTGCTGTCGAACAAAATGGTGCCGCGCAGAGAGCGCTAAACGGAATGGTCTATATTTTTACCAATAAATTTAAAATAATCTGTACACTGATCAGCTTCGCGTTTTTAAATTTCAATTTTTTTTACGAAAGAGTTACACATAAAAGACATCACGGACCATCTTCCGACTTTCAACACACGATGAGTCGCGGACGCTTGCAAACGGAAGGTTGCGATGCTGTGCGAACGGTTTTTGAAAGATGCTGCGTAGGGTACTCCGGGCGCAACGGCTTCGCAGCCGTTCGAGGTGAAAATGATTCGGGACGACGAAGTAGCGTCTTGCATCTTCAGTAAGGTAAAGGTTCGTGTTTTCCCGCTCAATGTAGCGGGGAAACATGAACAAAATTAGTTTCACTGCTAAATTTAGCGGGAAAATTTCCGTCACGTGACATAAGTACCATTCAATTTCTCGCTAAATTTAGCGGGGTGGTTACACCGATGGCGACGCCGACTCCGCTTAACTCGGAAACGGGCGCCTAAGAGCTGCGATCTAAAATCCATTATTTGATTAACTCGCTTTCCGATCTTATGCACTTCATCATATTGTCACACGTCAAACATACAACCAAATGTCATTTGTTTTTCAATCATCAAAATGCGCAATTGATTGGTCCAAATACCTGAAATAACTTGACTTTAAGGATGTTAACAATAGTTATCCAGTTACATGAGACATGCAATGTAGATCGATCAACTAGTATCTTGGCGAGTACATATGACCTATTGCTTGCACGACCGAAACGGGCCCATATATCATTATCAGGGGCTATATTTGCATGCGTATATGGCGATATATGGCCGTATTTACGCACTTATACAGCTACATCTGGCAGTATTTGCCCACTTATATGTCGATATCCGGCCGTATTTGCTCCCATATATAGCGCTATATTGCTATATTTGACTCGTTATATTATCATATATGGCCGTACATAAAATATATCAGGGCGGTATATTGCAATATATCACATGGTTTCAACGTGCTCTCGATGACGTTGGACAGAACTGTTATCGGGTATCCTGGTTGTTCAAACCATCTACTTGAGCTTAAAGTGTCAGGATACCCGATAACAGTTCTGTCCAACGTCGTTTGAACATGTTTAAACCATATAAAAGAGAAGATAGACACCAGAGAAGAATCCTACCTGTTGTAACGCCCTACGTTCATCGCGTCCCCCAACCTAAAACGGGTAGCTCCAAGGTTTGAGGTCCCAATCCTCTTTAAAGCACCTGACAAACTTGCTGTGTCCAAAGATCAACAAGCAACAAGACTATCATGACTAATGTAAGATCAGTCATGGATGGAAGTTTGTTGGCTGTTGCAGCAGCATCATTTACGAAATTCTGTTATCATGCGGAAAAGTATGTGGGACAGTCAGGGAGGTGTGTCAATGTGAGAATCGGGGAGCGTGTGCTATCCCTCGAATAATCACCAGCGGGTCATGTAGCCGTGCATGTGAGGGACTGTGGTTGCATCCAAAGGACTAGAGAAGAGTATGAGGCGCAAGTGATTACGTCAAACGGGCAGGCTCACATAAGTTCGACATCCATAGCCCTGTCGGAAAAAGAGCTAGATTTTTTAATCGGCGTCCCTGATTTACCTCTTGTTTTTTTACGTGTAGACATCGTACCAGAGTTATCATCACCTTCTTCTCCTACATGTAAATTTTGAATGTCTCCAGTAATTTAGGTTAATCACTATACTAATCACAATATAAGTGAATAATAATATGTATCAGTTTTGATTGCACAGAACATGTTTTTTTTTTTTTCTTTTCAACGACGTAAGTTTATTCCTTGATTTTTTCACTGTAAACTTCCACCACCTGCTTGCACCTCTGTAGTAAATTTCAGGGCGATACGTTGGGAAACAAAGTTTTGCAGGCCATCTAAGGTGCCTTAAAAACATTAGTTTTGAAAGTAAACATCAGACAGAAGTCTGTCTGGTTGGGGGAAAATTATTAAAATGAGATGACCAGCCAATCCCTAAATCAGTTGCGACTATGGAGGAAAGTATGGTATCTTCTTTTTCCTCTATGGCGGTGTCAAATGCGCACGATCCCTTCTGCTTCCTCTATGGCCATTTTTGATGACACGTGGTGGAGCCCGTTCACATAAACAGATGGCAGTGCGCCAAGAGACCCATTAATCTTTGTTGACGTGGTCTGAATGTGCCAATTATCAAGGAAGAGCCTCCGGCGGGGGTTAGTTTCGATGTCCAGGATGCGCGTGTTACGAAAGTCAATGCGGTGGTCATTTTTTTTTTTCACTATGTTCAGTAACCGCGCTGCGCTTTTTATCGAAGTTGCGCAGATCTGCCTTGTGTTGGCAAATCCGCTCATTGTAGTTGTCTGTTTCGCCGATGTACGAGGACGGGCACCCCCCGCAGGGTATCTCGTAAACCACACCTTGCGCTTCTCTTTAGGGGGCTGACCTTTTGGTCGTAGCATAAACCGTCCAATGGTTGATATTGGCTTGTTGGCCATCTGAATGCCCTCCCTCGCTAGCACCCGTGCCAGGGCTTCACTTGTTCCCTTGATGTAGGGGACGCTGATGCGCGTGATTGGCCGGGACGGGCAATGAGGTGTATAAAGCTGCCCGTATATCCGTTGTTCTTGAGGTCGCAAATGATGGCTTCTTCTTTTCGTTGGTCAGAATCAGTTAAGCAATGTTCTTTGCCCTTGATAGGAGTGTGTTAAGCTCTGGTACTTTGACTCATTGGATGGTTGAAGTCAAATTGTAGGTATCTTCCGGTGTGTGTTGGCTTGCGGTAAACTAAGAACCGCAGATATTATCTCTGCCTTTCTACAAGCACTTCAAGAAACGGTAAGGTGTTTTTTTCTGTTCCACGATGAATTGGGTGTCAGGCTCGATGGAATTGGGGTGTGTCAAAAAATTGTCCACTTGAGTCTTCTTCATGATGCAGAAGCAGTCGTCCACATATCTTAGAAACACTTTGGGGCGTGCGGATCGCAATGTTTTTGTTCTCTCAAAGCTCCCAACGAGCTTGTACCTCTTCTCTCGATAAATTGTGTCGGTGATGTTGTGGAAGTTTTGATAGCATGCCAACCACTTCTGTCGGACTCGTTCGTGATCGTTTGAATCCAGCTGCGCGACGCCATCTTCTATTGTGGCAACTATTTTTGAGAAAGGTGGCTTCGTCGTTGTCATGTTGAAACTGTGACCCTTTGCTGCCGGAGGCTCTTCCTTGAATCTTGGCACATTCAGACCACGCCGACAAACATTAATAGGTCTCTTGGCGCACTTCCATCTGTTTATGTGAACGGGTTCCATCATGGTGTCATCAAAAAACGGCCATAGAGGAAGCAGAAGAGATTGTGTGCATTTGCCACCGCCATAGAGGAAAAAGAAGATTGCGGCCTCCTTTCCTCCATAATCGCCCCTGAGGAAGAAGTCGAACAGGCTTCGAAACATTGGGTCCCTGATTTAGGGATTGGTTGGTCGTTTTATTTTAATCAACGTTAGTTCACATGCTGTACAATAAGCGCCCACTCCTGAATTTTGTAACATTCAGAAAGTATGCAAAGGACATATCTTTACATAATGTTGACCTAAGATGCTTCCATCCCCCAGTTTTACATGGTTATCTCTAAATTTTAAGTGGGCGCTTGCTCGGGATTTTATGGTATAAGCGTGCCAACTAGAGTAGATGGTGTTAATCGCAGCAACTCGAGACTAGAGATGGAAATGTGATGAGTCGTCTTCCTTTCTTATTCTCAGTTTCCGGTTTTCACTGTGAATATTCTACTGCTCACTGATACTGTTCTACCAGTCCAAAGTTCCTAGAACTGAGGGGGAAAATAGTTATGAGAAGAATGTGTTCCCATAACTGGGCTTAAAAACGAGGATGTATCCCTCGGTCAACTCATCTGGATAGACCAAAAGAGCCAAGTGGTCACTAGGGCAGCTTAAAACTATTTGTACTGTTGCATTTATGAATGAAATGTTGGTTAAGTTCCGGTCCACTGGGACATATCACTTCACTCATGAAAGTCGAGATGTCCGTTAGTGAGATCATTTTCACTAACGGGCATATCGGCTTTCATGTGTGAAGGGATATGTCCGAGTAGACCGGAACTTGACAAACACTTCATTAATAGGTGCAACAGTACATATAGTTTGAAGCTGTCCCACTAGCAGGCACCACTTGCCTCTTGGTCCTAAAGCCTGTCATTGTGTTTGCGTTTGTCTTGTAAGTAACGTCAAATATGCCAGTGCACAAGGCCCGTGTCTTGAGCGGCCCGTGCAAGCAAAGGTGGCACAGCACCCGCTCGTGGCACGTGTCTTGCACGTTTCCACGACAATGTTTGGCGGTACTTGTAAGCATGAATTTATTGAGGGACCTTAGTTTGTTCACGTACCTTGTGACCGTTTAGATCTTGTGTTGTCGTGTTCTCACGTAATTTTTTTTCTCCTTTTCAGCTTGACAACAGGCAAAGGTTCAGGGGAAGAAAAGGCTACTAAATGGGAGATGGATCCTAGCACTACAGCATTTTTCGTACAAAACATTAAACAGATGTGCAGTCAGAATGTACGAGCAATTTTACCTCGCAATATTTGCGAGTACGCTGCAAAGAAATTTTGTCCTCAAAATGCTAAACTTCCTTCTACTGTAGCGAGGAAAGTTGAACTTATCGCTAGCGTTACTATTTTTTTTTTTAAATGGTACATGTTTTGAATACAAAAAGGCATAATAATATTGCGAGCACTACTTTGTGTGTCACGTTAACTATGTGCAGAACTGGCTTTTTTTCTTGAGCTAGCAGGGAGCAGCTTCTAGGGAGCCTTCATGTGCGCTTTGCTAGGGTGATGCCACCCTTTGTAATACCACCCGCCGACAAACCAGCAGCCATTTTGTTCCTCGGCGATAATCCGTGGGGCTTATAACCCTCCCGGAAACAAGCACCTTATCTCAGAAGTTCGGAGCAGCGTTGTGGAACCCACGGAGGGAGGATTAGCATTTTCCCCCTCGGATGGGATTACCGATGGACACAAAGGCCACTTTCCGGCGCACGGGGAAACAATGAGAGAAACAAAATGGCGGTGGAAGAGGGTGTGGGAAAGGGAAACAGGCAGTTGGCATCACTCTATGCGAAGCGCACATGAAGGTACAAGTCAAGAAGGTAGGAGAAGCTCCTCCCACAAGTGTGATGCGCCCGTTTCAAATCTCTCCGCACTCGAAAGAAGAGTTCACTGGAAACGCTCCTTGTTCCGCTTCAATGGATTCCCACTTGTCTCCGATCCCACTTTTTAAGAAAGCGACCTTTGTATTCATTGGAAGGGAAACCGAGCCCCTGAAAGCAGCCTTTGTACCTATCGGAAAGGGGGGGAGGGGGGGGGGGGAGCTAATCCCCGAAAGTCGTATTTGTTTCCGTCCGTGGGGGAGAACTCTAATATCCCTCTCGTGGCTTCCACAATGCTAAGTCAAACTCGAAAGATGAAGCAAATATGTACAAAAAGGCAAGACCCTCCTCGCGCTTTGTCCGCGACGTCACGGAAACGGTGGGACGCTATTGGATGCAAAGGTGGCGGAGGGATATCTGATTCCCTTTGAGGGGCATTTGCCGCTACCTTCTTAACCTTTAACTGACTATAGCAGCTTCAGTTGTCCCACTTCCAGCACGACCTTGGTGAACGCTTAGGCGTCTCAATGCACACGCAGGGCAGAATGCACGGAGTGCGTGCTGGAGGCGGTTGGAAGACACGCCTTTTCCACTTTTGCAGCAGTAATTAGCTTTAATCCCCGACATGCTCGGTGTCATCTCCTTAGTCGGGATTGTGAACTCCACTTTCAATCGTACCTCGGCAAACTCACTCACCGCATGATTGTAAGTGAATCTGAGACTTGGTGATATGTCACGGATTAAGGCCAAGAGACGATGAATAATGAATTGCAAATAAAAGTTTAATTGGCCAACTTGTGCTAGAATAAACAAACGACCAAAACGGGTAGATGAAGATAACTACAGAGTGTCGCGGGCTTCGGAGTCGGCGGAAATCCAGAGTAAAGTGCTGGCGAAAGAGTGTATCGTCGTCGGGAGAGTTTTAATCAGTCGGCAAAGCCACGGTCAGCACCCAGGCGAAAATCAGTCCACTTCCAGCTGGATTATGTAACTGGTCCCAGCTGGAAGTGGACCTTATAGAATAACCCCCCCCCCCCCCCCCCCCCCCCCCTGCCCCCCGTCCGGTACCTCGAATATTCGACCCAGAATGTTCGGGAGTGAGCAGAGGTCATTTCAGCCTCGTTATCTTTTACACTCGGGGTAAGAGTAAACGCGAATATTCTAGATGTACGGAGAAGCGTTCCTTGTCGGTCATTCACGCTGCATTACTCCCCCTTTAAAAGTGTATCGCCACGATGCAGCCTTAAATAAATTATCGCAAAGCTAAACCAAATAACAGAAATCGTTAAGCTGCAGGGTCGTGTGAACCATAAATAATCCTCGGCCCTGTCAAGCAGAAAACGGCTCGAGGCGCATGACATGCACCACCTCGGGTCGCGGCTGACGGTGTCCTGACGGCCGCGTTTCGTCCATACATCGTTCTAATGTTTACATAATTGTAGCACAGCCTGCACGCCTATGTCTGTCGCATTGGAAGGCAAGTAACGTGCGCTTCATACGTACTAATGTCGAAAGTGGCACAGGTCAAAAGACTGTTTTTATAATGGGCTTATCACCTCATAAACATCTACAGTGCCGACAAAGGCTCGAGCACGAGCGCTTAACTGCATTTCACAATTTGGCTTTGTTAGCTGGCAAAGGAACTACCGATAGTGTGAGGGCCGGTTCAAACACTTGCGTTTGAATGCGTTTGACTGCGTTGCGTCGAGAACCGAAAGCGAGTCACCGGCACATCTGTGCTTCGTATGAAGCGTGGAATCCAATTCAAGGAATCATCTTGGCACGCGATATAAGCAGCAGGAATGTCCTGGTTTCTCGCTGCCGCAACGCAGTCAAACGCAGTCAAACGCAACTGTCTGAACCAGGCTTGACTCTGCAGAATGCTTTCTGTGCACGAGAGGTCGCGCATAAAAAGAAGCGCGTTTAAAACCACACCCTCGCACTTGTGCCTTTGCACATACTGACGACAACTTGCGAGATAGGCCCCACAGGAGGCACCTGTGAAAGCTGGTGTTTGGTGAGTGGCGTCACCACGGACCCCGAGCCATGCGGTTTCGCCCGCTTACGTCTGGCTGTGCGTGGTTTTCTCGTGTCTGAGGAAAAGGGCATCCTGGTGGTTGAACCGAGCCCGGGGTAGGTTTGGACCCTTCGGGGCCCCTTAAGTGAGGCGATACACCACTTCGGCCCCCACTTCTCGTAGACGGGAGTCCTGGTAAGGCCCGGGACGATTCAGTCTAGTCGCCACTTCTACTATCCCCTCCCTTCTTTCAGCCTTGTCTTCTCCTTCGTTTCACTCTTCTCATTTCTCTTTCCTTTTTCAACTCCTTTGGTGGCAGGGGCTACCCTTGGGTGGCGACAGACCCCTTGTCCAGAAGCATGCACACTTGGTTATAGAGACTGGGCAGCACTAACCGCTCATTCACACTGGAAGAGGATCCGCGTTCGCAAAGCGGTTGCGAACGCGGTTGTATAAAGCAGGGTGGAAGCAAGCTTCAGCCTTTTGGAGCAGGTCTGGGAGCAGCAAAGATGCCCCTTTGGAGCAGCTTTGGGGCAGTTAAAGCTCAGCTTTGGAGCAGCTCAGGAGCAACGAAAATCGAGTTTCGTAGCAGTATAAGCAAATCTTGGAGCTGCTTGGTGCTGTAAGCACAGATGTGTTTTTCGAAATACAAAAAGAAATATAAATCAAAAAGCATCTTCATGTGACGTTCCAGAACCATTCTCAAACATAACCTTTGCTTAAATATATTGCAACACATAGCAAAAAATATATTTGAATGGCTGCCATTGACAACTGTCATGGTGGTAGCTGGTAGTTCTTCTCATGGATTTTTAATAGTAGGCATAGGCAACTAAAGAAAAACAACTTAAGGCCACGGTCCCACTGAATGTAGCAGTTTAGGTACTTTTTGGCAGGTCATTACTCATCTCCTTTTAAATACTGTTTTGTGGGATTGATGTCATTCGAAAGGCAATGCAATCCTCTTTCATTTGATATTATGTGTGTGTTGGTGTTTACTGTTCATGCGCATTTGTAGCGTTGCGAATATGATGGCGCGGACCCTAACTTGTTCCGCTAGTTCATGTTTTATGAACGATCCATTAAAGATAACACGGTTCCAATATAGCAGTTTTGTTAAGATGATGTCGGAGCAGGATGTAACGATACACTTTTTTGGTATTTGCACTACTTTGTTTTTTTCATCCCTCCAAATATTGCCCTAAAATTGACATTTTTCAGCACAAATATTTTTTCAATGACAAGAACTAGGACAATGAAATTAGCTACAGATGTAGTGCTTATAATTGCTAATATGCAGAAAAAAAATTAATGTTGTGTAAAATGTTTTTGTTTAGATATTTTATATCAAACGCAGCACTTTTTTGTGCTTCGAGTCATGGTACTTCAAATGCCGCTGAGGAAATAATTAAACTACGATAAAATCTTTTATACCATTTAGATCTACAATGGTTGCCCAAGAGGTGGACGATGGCTTTTTTTCATTTTCGAAGTCATAACGCTCCAGGAGCCCTTCAAACTTACCTGTTTTTGACGCATATCTTTTTTGGACATCAAACAGATTTATTGGCATCTAATAACATTTATTGTTTGGAATAGATATACATTGCGATGTATTAGATTCTCAGAATGATCTTGCTTTGGTTTTTTAATAGGTGTAGAGCTTAGCTAATTTTAAAAACAATTAAAAACTGTTTGGGTGTTTTGTTGCGCTACCTGGCGGATGGCAGACAAACTGCTGATTTTTAATGTTCAAACAATTTCCGAGGGCGGCGTTGGCGTCTGTATCATCATCAATCTCCGTGTCTTTTTACCTTCACATTTAAAAAATATATTGGAAGATTTACTATCGATAAATGAATGGTTTAAGTACTGGGTCAGGTTAATAAATCTAATACAAATAATTACACAAGCGTAGCGTGATATAATGTGTTCATCATTCGATATGATTGAAATCAATAAACAATAAAGACGAAGAAGAAAAGAATACACCTGTGTTCACTTCATGCCTAGAGTCACTAAATGAGCTCTAAAGTATCGGCGGCATTCTGTTCCCCAAAATTGTTTTGGGCGCCGCCATTTTGGGTCTTGCTCAGAGCAAACGCAACTGCCGATCACCATGATGCAAAAGTACGACTTCCTCAGCATTCGATGCGGTGCTAGGAAGCTGATGCTATATTGCAATGCTCTATCGCGGGTTGTTTAAACATTTGTGAGGGACGGAAAAGCGTTTCCTGTGATTTTAGATAAAGCTTCAGATAACTGGCCACCATGATTTTAAGCCACAATATGGCCAAGTGTCGTTACTCTGAACCGTAGATAATTAACTGGCACAAGCGGGAACAATGAGGAAGAGGCAGGTGTCAAAAGGTAGTGGCTTGTGGAATCAA